GAACACTACCAGGAATGTCAGGATTGTGGCCATTGAGCAAAGTCACTTGACATCTCACTTAACGACCACTTTGCTCCATGACCAAGATTCCAGGCTCAATTGTAGTTGTAAGTCGAGGACTACCTGTAGTGTGTTTTTTAACTCACCAAATTGTCAGCCAATTACCCTTGGAAAATTATTCTCAAGCAAATTTTCTGCTAATTGTTAGCAGAAGTAAGTGATTGGACAAAGATTTCTACATCAAATTTCTACATCTTCACAAGTAACATGCACAAGAATAAAAATATGTGCCACTTCTGGCCAACCATCTCAAGCTTGAATAACTGCTGCTGTCTACCATAAGAATCTTAGCTGGACTGTTAACCTGTTTTAACATATTTTTGTAAAAGGATGTGAAACTTAACTTGCCGAAATGTTCTTTCTGAAGACCCAGTAATTGCTTGTCCTACAAGCATGATAAACACCATCCCTGGTCTGTGTCAGTCTATGACTAGCCTAATGTTTCTGCCTGCATTGTTGTTGCCTGGCAGTTTCGTTAAGATGTTGATTTTATCCTTTGAACAAAGTACTTTTATTATTTCTCTAAAATAAACATGTTAAGTGACTAAGATGTTTCTACTTTGCTCCCTAACCAAAAAGATAGAAAAGGGAATTGAAAGTCAGTCTTGCCTTGGAAATAAATTCCTGTCATTTGCTGCATTTCTGCTCATATCATATCATACCACCCAAGATTTATTTGCTAGACAAAGAACTGAAATGCCTTCTAGGATGCTTGACTGATGATGTAATCCACAATTGGCACAAACCTTTCCTGGGATCTGAATTACTGGACAGAACCTACATTGCAGAAGGCTGGTTTGTCTTATTTTGTGTTCCAGACTTTGGGTGACTTCCGACTAGATTCTTTCTTTTGATAAATTTCACTGGCAATATACTTACCTGAAATATTTTTGCTTTTGTTTTTGTTCACAACTAAATATATATATATATATACACATTTCTAATGAATTTTATGGATACACTGATTTAATGCTGCCAATTCATTGACCAGAGATGTAGAAGCAATGAATTAATAAATAAAGCCAGGGGTGGGGTTCTACCAGTTTGCACCTGTTCGTTAGAACTGGTTGTTAACATTGTAAGCAGTTCAGAGAACTGGTTGTTAGAAGAAATTACTGGCCTAATCCTGTAAGGAAGGCAGGAAGGAAACATTATGGTGTTGCTTACAGAAACTGCCTATCCGTTAACCCTTATTACATTCTTGGCAGGACTAAACTTCCTGTCTCTGGAACTTCTCTGTACTTTTTTTCCCCTCCTTTGCTGATACTTTGCTTGTGTGGAGTGACCATTTAAAGTTACAATGGCACTGAAAAAAGTGACTTATGACCATTTTTCACACTTACAACTGTTGAAGCATCCCCACAGTCATGAGGGGCTAGGTGAGGAAATGCGTGCCTCAATGTGAGTGATATTGAGTTGGCGACACTCAGCCAATAACATGACCACCAAGCCATGTCCACCAAGTCACATGACCACCAAGCCACACCCACCACCTAAACCACGCCCACAAAACCTGTTGTTAAAATTTTTGAATCCCACCCCTGAATAAAGCCATTGTACATCCAGTGAGGAAGCCAGATGTTAATATGGCTGATATTTAGATTTCTAACCATCCTCTAAAGTCGTGCTCATAGGCTCAGGAATCATATGGCATTTAAAAATAAAATGTAAATTGGAATCCAAGCTTATTCAACTCGCTGAAAGTGGGAGTTAACTTGTCTGGATTATTGTTTATATAGTCTGAGCTGTGAGAACTGGAAACTGTTAAAAATTACTTTAAATGGGGAGTATAATTCACAGCGTCCCAGTTTCTAGCCTGGTACCTTAACCACTATATACAAAACTTGTTTTCTGATATATTTTAATATATTGATTAATGTAGGCCCTAAATGGCTCAACAACAGTGATAGTACTGAAGCCAGGACAGCATGTGACCCCTTCTATAAAGGGGGAAGAAGGAAGGAGCACTTATATAAAACAGTGGCCCCCAATCTTTTGGGCACCAGGGACCGGTTCTGTGGAGAAAGGTTTTTCCACGCACTGGATGTGGTGTGGTTTCGCATGCTACCTGCCACCCCACGATTGGAGCTTTGCTTGTTTGAGCAGACTGGTTTCTGGCATGCCGTGGACTGGTGTCAGTCTACAGACCGAAGGTTGGGGACCCCTGATTTAACCCACTGGCTATTGGGAGAGTGAGACCTTAGAATTAAATAGAGAAGGAATTGATTTTGGTTTGTTTACGGCATATATGTAGAGACATCGTTATCAATTGGCTTCTCCATTAATATTTAGACTTGAGTTTGTTTTTCTTTTATTAAAAGCAATGTTTTTCATAGAATGCAACTTGATTGCCGTGTGCATCAATCAATATTGTTTGTTAGTAATTTTATTGGGCTTTACTTGTCAATTTATTAAACTCACTCATTAATGATAGTATAGCTCTGCAGGTAGCTGTAACTTTGGAAGTGTCTATCTCTGAAGGCTGCTTTGTGATTTAAGATTATATATAATCTGAAACTATAATGTAATCTGATTCTGATCATAAAACATCAGTACAATAGCAATACTGTAGACAATATATATTGTCTACAGTATTACTATTGTACTGATGTTTTATGATCAGAATCAGATTACTTTATAGTTTCACTCTGTTATCTGCTTATTTATATAACTAGAAGGCCAGTTAAAATTTGGTTGCAGTAGAATTTCTGTTCTCAAAACTATGAGCAAAGCACTCCAGTTTTGGCAGTATTCAAGCATAATCTTGAAAACTAGTCACGAGTGGTATTTTAGTAATTCACGTGGCTTTCCAGAGGTTAAAAAGCCATTCCAGCAAAACCATCTTGTGCTACAGTGGTCATTCGTTGGCTGAACATGATGATCCGAGTCTGCAGATCATTGGATGCAATCCAACAGTAGGATATTAAGGCCTGTGACTCAGCTCTGAACACTCATTCCTGGATGTAGAAGGCAATCAGTGCCAAGCATGATAAGCAATGTCATTTGGATCGGGCAAAGAAAATGAACGTGATTTTCTTAAATATGCTGTATTTTGCTTTGATTGGGTAGTTTGTTTTAGTCAAGAAGCTATGTTTATAACCTTGCATTATTTCAGATTTTTTGGAGGTGCACATTTTTAGAAGAAATAAGATACCTGTAATATGTTGAAGCACATTATGGCCTATTGCAATTTGAACAAAGGTTTCTTTTGGGAGTCCAGAGAATTAACTTTAATAAATTATCACCTTAACTCTCAAGAAATTTCAGTAAGAATTGCTAACGTTGAAGTGCTGAAAGTTGAATAGTTCAGGAAGCTTTAGAAAAGATGGTACAATAAGCCACCTTCATCCCAAGCACGTGAGAAAGAAGAACAGTGGATAAGCCTGCTAATTGTTTTAGCTCTACAAGCTACCATTGGGTGACTGCAGATACTGTGCCCCTTAGAAGACAGAGATGATAAAGCACATGCTCTCACAGGCCGCTATGGATTAAAAGCCTGTGGTGATTTTGATCCATTCCTTTTCATAGTTGTCTACTTCGTATGTGTATTTCTATAAATATGTGTATTTTTATAAATAACTCAAGGTGGCAAACCTATCTAATACAGGTAGTCCTCGACTTACAACCACAATTGAGCCCCACATTTTTGTTAAGTAGGACATTTGTTCAGTGAGTCTTATCCCATTTTACAACTGTTCTTGCTTCAGTTGTTAAGTGACTCACTGCAGCTGATAAGTTAGGTGTTAAGTGAATCTGGTTTCCCCATTGACTTTGCTTGTCAGAAGGTCGCAAAATCACATGACCTTGAGACATAGCAATGATCCTAAACACAGAAATAGTTGGCAAGCATCTGAATTTTGATCACATGATCACAGGGATGCGGGAAAGGTCGTAATTGAAAAATGGTCATAAGCCACTTTTTAAAGTGCTATTGTAACTTTAAACAGTCTCTAAACAAACTGTTGTAAGTCAGGGACTACCTGTACTCCTTCTCCTATTTTCCTCAAAGCAACAACCCTGTGAGGTAGGTTGAGCTTTCTTCATGTGCATGCGTGTACACACACACAGACACACACACACATGCATAGAGCTATCAGCCTATGGTATAATTAGCAGATGATCTGAGGGGGATTAAACCTTGAATACTTGCCTGTACTTGCCTTAACCACTAGACCAAATATATTTAGCAGGTGATCTGATGGGCATAAACCTTGAATACTTAGAACCCAAATCCTAAAGAGACCGACTGCAGAGGAATAGACTTTGAACATTAAAGGTGTTGCATACTGTATAACATTCAGTAAGAAAAATACATTTTTTTGAATCTGATTTCATTTTTATGTGAATAAATATACAGAATGTCTTTTGAAAACAACAATTCTACTGTTTGTTTCCATTTATAAAATGTTTGAAAAAAAAGATTATTCATGGTTATGAACTGATGTGCTTCAAAATAAAAACAAATTCTACACTTTTTTCCCCCAAAATTTTATTGATTTTTTAAAAAAACAAACATAAACAAACAAAACACAAAACATGAAAATATAAAACATCTTTTTTGAAAGCAGCTTGATCCCGGGTTACATCTCTTAGTACAGACACAAATTCAAGTTCATGCTCATTTTATATACCGTTCCATATCTTATTACCATTCTACATTTTCTATATAACTTCTCCCCTCTTTTAACTCTCTTAATTCTATTTTATTTATTTCATCTCAATTTAAATCATTGTACTTATATCCTTGACAAATTCTACACTTACAAACTCACTGCTCCCAATATTTTATCAGCTTTACTATTGCAGTTATTTTCTTCTTCTGTTGTGAAAGCTTAGTTACTGTTACATTGGATGACATGAAATATTCTGAACCTTTGTTCCTGTTGTTGATTAATTATGATTTTTTACCAGCAAAACAATCCATTGTCTTTTCTTAACAGTGCTTGGAAGAGTTCACCAAGAATGTCTAGCAAAACATCTGGCACCACAAACAACATAGCTCAGGCAAGAAGAACTGTTCAGCAGTTGAGAATAGAAGCATCTATAGAAAGGATAAAGGTTAAGCATAATATATTTTCTTGTTATGAACTATGTGTTTATTATTTAAAGTGTGTTCTGTGTCTCTTATGTTTCAAAATTCATTTTGAAAAATCAAGTTTAAGAATTGCCGTGAAGTTATTGGAATATGGCTTTGTGAGTCTAATATATTTTCCTTAATGATGAAACTTCATGGTGCAATAGAGACACATTTGGATATTATGTTGGTCAGTCCCATGTCATAATGTAATTTTGATCCTGTTCTGTTCAAATTTCAAAAAGTTATCCTGCTGACTTCCAGAGAAACAAAGTCCCAAAAGTCTTATACAATTTCTCTCTAACCTTTTGTTGGATTGGGAAGAATAAAAAGAATAAATAGAAAGGAATAATATAGACAGTGAATTGGAACTATAGAGCTAGTATCAAGAAGGTTAAATGTTAGAATAAGACATGAAAAGAAATGTTTTATGTTTTTTAAAATTTGGAAACTTAATAAAATTTATTTAAAAAAAAAGAAATGAAAAGAAAGAATCCCAAGAGGAACAAAAAGGCCTATTAGGTACATTCAAAACAAAAAAGAAAAATGTTAATATGTATTAAATGTTAGCAGAATGCTAAGAAAAAGTTAGTTACTCAAATTTTAATTTGATGCAGTCTTCTCTAGTATACACACACACACACACACACACGTATGTGTATGTGCTCTACTTGGAATTGTGAATAGCAGGAAGCATTGGTATAAATGAACCTTGAATTTTATAAAAACATGATCAGAGAATTCACCTTTAATAAGTTTAAATCTCTAGATTAATTGCAAGGTAGAGAGGAAATAACTGATGATCTAGTCAAAATTCTCACACATGTTTCAAAATTAGAAAACAGAAAACGCAGAAAGCAAAAAATGCAGCAAATTACAGAGCAGCCTGCCATCAATACCTGCAGAAATTCTAGAACAAATCATAAGCACCTGTCAGCACCTTGAAAACAATGATAAAAAAATCAGCATGGATTTGTCAAGAATGAGTCTTTGCAGACAGATGATAATCTCTTTTTTGATCAAGCAAATTCCATAATAGATTGTGGGAATGCTGTAGGCTAAGGATGTGCATGAAATGAAAAATAACCTGAAATACACTCTTCCCTTATGGAAGTTGTGCCAAACTGGTTCGGTGAGCCATGCTTTGGCAAAAACAAAATCCTGAATACTTTGGTAGTTGGGTTTCAACCAAAACAAAAGTGGGAGGGATCACAGAGTTTTTTTATAAGGCAAATTGGGAAAGGTTGATACATTTAATCCCCTGTTTTCATTCATCCTCTGTATGGTTTGTGTTTGAGAGCCAGCTCTCCTATGCAGGAAACAGTTCATGCATGGAAGATACTGCACATTCTTCCTATAGATCGGCAGGAGTGTCAAACTGGCAGCCTGCGGGCTGGATGCGTCATATGCAGGCCACATCCATTCCAGCTCCATGAAGGGGAAAAAATCGTGAAACGTCACGTGACAGCAACGTGACGCTGCGTGTTTGACAGCCGTGCTATAGACATAGTGGTGGTCCCTGGTTAATGATCATAATTTAGTGACCTTTTACAGTTATGACAGCGCCTGAATGAGTGGTAGCAACTGGTGGTAGCAACCAGTCCTTTTAAGTTCAACTGTCCCCGCCACTTGTACCGTCACATGATCACAATTGGACACTTGGGAACTTGATCACCATTTGTGACCTTCCTTGGCAGCTTCCCATAAGCGAAGTCAATAGGGAAATAGGCAGTGAAGGTCATAAGTTGCTCTGGTAAGTCTCTCCCTCCCACACCCTTCCCAAGCCTCACTGCACTTGCATGGTATCTCAACCACTCATACATTCTCAGGCAGCCTTTCCCCCTGAGAGCAGCAATTCTAAGCCCTGACGTGCTTCAGCCACATCTCCCTGGCCACCCATGCACCCCACTCTCGCTCACACCCAGCAGCAGCCATTTACCACTCTTCTTGCCTGCTTGCAAGCCACCTGAGACTAGCAACTTCCTGCTGGCTGCCCCACTGATTTTGTTCGTTAGGAAATTAATAATGGCAATGGGGGTTGCCATTGCTAAATGATGTGACCACGTGATCTTGCACTTTACATCTGCGTTGCTTAGTGATGGAAAATTCTGGTCCAGATTATAATTATAGCTATAATATATTTTGATGTCATCAAAAGCATTTGACATGCCAATTAGCGAGCTGGTTAAGTATAGGTTGGATGGCATGATAATTAAATTGATACATAACTGGTTCAAAATACAATTTGCAGGCATGCTTATCAATTGTTTCTGATCCAATTAGAGGAAGGAATCAGTCCTGGATCTTCTATTCTTCGGTATTTTCAATAATGACACGAGTGAAAAAGTAAATGGCATACTTCACAAATCTGCAAAATTTGACCAAAAATTGAGGGAACAATAATTTAGTAAACACGTATTAATTACATAAAGATAGGCTGTGGGGTACTTGGCTTAGTAGGAGTAAAAGTAGTCCTCAAATTATGCCCCATCACTTAGCAACCGTTCAAAATTCTGATAGATTCCCTTAAAGGTACTTAACAACACAATTCCAAAGTGTCAATGCCCCCCACACACACCACGATGATCATGTGACCACATGTTGGGTGTTCTCTAATTGGTCCACATTTGCAGTCGTTTGCAGTGACTTGCAGTCATATGGCCATATTTTACTTCTGTTTTTTGACAAAAACAGCCCATAGCAAACAATGAGCTCACTTTTATGACTGCAATGTTTGCTTAACTTTCACGACTTGCAACCATAATGATGGGCAAGTTCCATTATGCTCATAAGTCAAGGACTACTTGTATTTACAAAGAAAATGGTATAGTAGTTGCTTACAAATTAAATACAAGTCAGCAGGCTAACAAAATAGGCAAATACAGTTGCTAAAAGTATAATTTCCAAATTACAGAAAGGTAGTAATCATTGTTTTGCTTTGCTCAGACCCAGTTTCAAGTACTGTGCCATTTTCAGTCACCATGTCTTAAAGATCTGGGTTTAGAGAAGGACACCAAGAATGATTACAGGGGACAGGAAACCAAATCTCCAGCAGAGAGTTTGAAAGGGCTGGAGGTGTTTAACCTTCAGAAACAATGCTTGAGAGGACCTTTAATAGCATTCTTCAAATCCCTGAAGAGACATCATGTAGGAGGTCACGGCCTGTCCATCCCTATTCCAGAGTGCAGGTCATGGAAGAACAGATTTAAATCCTAGAAAGAGAGGTTCTGGTTGAATGTTAGCAAGAGTGTTCAAATCATAAAACAGGCTGACAGTGGAATTATGGTAGTTATTAAAAGTGGTTATAGGCTCCCTTGTTTTGAATGTTGAAGGAGAAGGATAACCTAGAATGCTTTAATTGTGATTCCTGCATTGAGGAAGGGGTTGATCCGAAGGTCTGAATGGACTCATCCAATTCTTATTCTGTGATTCTCTAGCCATTTGTAGAAAGCTGCTGTTAAGATGTACTAGATTACGTCTCCATCGTATCTTGATCAACATGGCCCCGCAGAGCACCAGGGCTGTGATTTCTTTGTAGAAAATAAGAATGCTGTAGGCATGCCCAGACTTCTTCAGATGCATTTGTGAAGAATAGAAAATGCTTTTAATCTCATCTCAAGCTTCTTAGCAATTAATCCTGTACTACCCCTTATTTGTTGTTCACAAATAAAAAAGTATAAAAAATCATAAACCTTTAGGTTTATGCATAAATGTGCCTTCTTGTTTGGCAATTTGTTTATTTACCACTAAAGCCTCATTCATAAACAAAAGCTAAAAGAGAGCAGCCTATTTTTGGGGGGTGCGTAAGGCACATATTCAACAAATGTATATTAAAATTCGCTTTATTAAAAGAAGCTTTTGGGAAAATTTATAATTCAGCACTTTTTTTCCTTTGCAGGTGTCGAAGGCATCAGCAGATCTAATGTGCTATTGTGAGGAACATGCCAGGAAGGATCCTTTACTAATGGGCATACCTGCTTCAGAAAATCCCTTCAAGGATAAAAAAACCTGCACTATTCTATAGGCAAAACAGCAAAATGCCTTCAAAACCTTCCCCTGCAAAACCAACCTAGCCAATTCTTAGAGAAGTAACCTGAAGGTCACCTGGTAGCCATTGCATAAAACAGCAACTTATTTTCACCTTGTGTATGAATGAACTTTTAAGTTTCCTTGAATGTTTGTTTGTCCCATTTTAAATGCCAGGCACACGGTTCTAAAAGTTACTTCTTGCAAAAATGGAAGGGTTCTACAAATGTCATTTGGCATGGATTCTGTTGGCTTTGCTGGGCTGAACTGGGCTGGGCTGGGCTTGATTTTGAAATGTAGTGAGTATTCACAGATCCAAGGATTGAACTATCAAGACCAAAGTTGCCTGAGCTTCATTTACAGTGTAGTGAGGTAGACAAGCCTAGAGTGCTAATCAAGCTTTTTTTTGCATTTGATTTGATACCAGTGTGTACCTTGTTTATGTAAATGGAGTCTATATCTAGGGTGTATGCATATGTTCGTTTAGATGTATAGACACATTCCAAAGTGCATTCTTTTAAGTGCGTTCTTCAGAATTCATTGCTGCATTTATTGATAGGTTTCTGCACTTCATGCTTTCACTATTTAGTATATCTTAAGCTTTCAACAATGTCTTAAAAACACTTGTACATACTATAAATTCTGGTTCTCAGCATAGTTTTGAAAAGTGACGTTGATCGCCTTTAATCTATCTTTTATTTCCACTGAAATGTAGACTACACTAAATTCAGATTGATTGTGATAATGGTGTCTAAAAACTTCGCCTCCCTTTCTTTTTGTCTTTAAGAGGAATTCTATCCTTTGCCTTTCCTACACAGTTTCTAGTAAACTGGTTTTTGGAAGCTTTCAGGCTTTTTTCAGTTTAATCCCCATATTTACGTTTCATAAATGTCAAACAATCACTAAGTAGGAAGAGAGACTCTGAGTGAAACCTATGGTGCTACTGCTTCTGCACAAGACCTATTAAAATCAATGGTTGTGCTAAATAAATGCTTGAAGGATTATAGCAATTCTCGGCGGCAGCAGCTAATCCCTTGTATATGTTAACATTATTAAAGAATTTGGGTACCGTCATACGGTAATGAGATACTGAATAGAAAGGAGCAACACTGATACATTTTAAGCCAGGGGTATGTATCTGTATACTATTTGTTTTATTGCATTATTGTGATCTGCCATAGCTCTGTATTTCGAAGGTGAGTTAATTGTAGCTTTTTTTGTTGTTCCTCAAGAGGGGAAAAGAATTGCCCCATATGTAGAGGCCCTCAGATGCATGGTTAGATTTCCTTCCTAGAATCTTTAGTACAGAATGCAAAGCCAACCATTAGTGCTCACCCAGAAGCTTTCATTTTCAACCAGCCAAGGGACACCCCCACCAAGATTTCTTCCTGTTAAGAAGTCCTAGACTTCCATAGTGTTTGTATCTGCTTGGTGACAGCTTAACACATACTTTCACCGTAACTGTATTGAGAAGCTAGCTGCAGAGCTGGTAAGCCAAAGTCCCCACCCAGTTTACTGGTGCTCTTCACTGCATTATAATTAAGCTCTTGTGGAGAACTGTATTAGTGCTGCATACTGCTATGTTGATATCGTATTTCTTTTCACCTTCATGGTCCCAAAAGATAAATTTAAAACATTTTAAAAACTAAAATAGCTTCCTAAAGATAGTACGGAACTGATAACAAAATCACAATTTTTGCATTGATTTTGCTTATTTTATGTCAGTCTGGCCATCACAAAATCAACGTACAATTCATTAAATTAGATTACCTGGAATTTGGTGCCATCTCATTTGCTATCATAATTTAAAACAGTGTCTTTTCTGATATCAGGTCTTAAGTCCGTGTCCCCAAATTAACACTGGTGACCTAACTTTTGGTTTGTTTTAAAATATTGGACAACGGTTGATTTGTCAGCTATATAAATCTGCTTTATAAAGAATGATCCTTGCAATTATTCATCCATGGCAACAACAACATGGATTTACTTGCATTTCTGCTAAATATAGTGAAGTAGTTAGGCTTGTGTTATGATCTTAACATAGGAAGTAAAATCCAGAGAAAAAGGTCAACCCTATGTTTGACTTTGCTACATGGAAATGGTTAATTCGCTCCAGTACATGGTCCTCTGGTGAGATAAGAATGTACAGATCATGTATCTGAGCTCATGCATAATGGCCATAAAGTATTGAAGCTCTCAAGTGTCAGAGTTGATACTCATTGCAATAAGCCTATAAATGAGGAGAGACTGCACTGGCAGGCCTGTCAACTCTAAGAGAGTCGGTACAATTATTTGTAATGAATAAATTGGTATTGCCATTAGTAAATGGGCACCTGAATTACTTGTAAAAGCTGAAGTTGATGCTGGACATTTTCTCATCCATCACCAACCCAACCTGTTTCCTACAAATCTTATCCCAAATATCAGTATTTTTTTTTAAACAATTAGAATGTTACTCTTTTTAGACCTATTCTACTCATCAGATGAATGCAATTTAAAAAAAATTCATATAAAATTAATATGCTAATTAAATGTGATAACTGTCACCAGCAAATGCTGCTCTGTATGCTTTAATGTAGAATAAATTTGGACACATTTAGTTACTCTCGCTAGTGAGAAATTTAAACTGATTATGATTGTTCCCTGCCTCTCATTTAGGCTCTACTTCATGTAAGATTAGAAGGCCCATATCCTTAAATTTCAAAATCAGATTATTTATGGTAGATGAACTTCTGTAACTTACTTAAATACCCTCAATGATTGAGTATCTAATAAATGAAGTTTGACTTGTTACATTGTTTAGTCCAAACTCCGATTAGAACATGTTGATCAGGCATTTGAAAAAGCATCCAGCTTAATAGGCCCCTTGCCTGTTAGGAAAGAACACAAACGAGCTAGAGAAGGCTTTACCTAAAGAAAGAAGGAAATCTTTGGATCTTGCCTTGCAATTGATGAGTGCCATTATTTTTTTTTCTAATTTCTTCAATCCATCTCTCAGTTCATATTTTTCCCAAATTAAGCCTGGAGTTATGACACATTGATATTGGGCTTGTTTTCTGGACTTCTTATTCTTTTTGCGTTGCTAATCATGCTATTTTAGTCTATTTCAAGTTGGGCTCAGCTCCTGATGATTTCACAGACCCATCCATCTAGCTTTGGGGCAGCAGTATACAAGTATGCCTTCTTCCAGAATGTGATCTTTTGTTGTTAAAATCTTACAGTACTTGTGTATTCGCTGTGTTGTAATGTTATAGTACCAGGCCAAAATAGGTTGGATCCAAATATGTCCTTCCATGTTTGGGATAACCTATATTATATTCCCAAAAGCAATGTTTTAGCCTTACCCTAATACATTCCCAGAAAAAGGAAAACTAAGAATCCAAGAATCCAACACATGCTTGCAAGAGAGAAAGCCCCCTTTCACAAGTAAGCAGTGCTGACAGGACATACATAAGAGCCCATTCAGAGGCTACAATCTCTCATGGTTTATTAAGGAATAACCACTATCATTATAATGGGATTTATTTCTGAGTAAGCATGTACAGTGTTGTACGATACAAGCAAAGACGGTTCTCTACATGTGTCAGAAGAAGCGCAGGAACTGCTATAAACTTGCATCTTAAAAGTAGTCTAGAAACTGATTTCTTTGTGTTTGCAGAGCAATGCAAGCAGCAGTTCAATTTATGCTGTGGTGCTTTGGATCCAAACCAATATTTTCACCAGCAGTGCTTTAAATTTTTATCATTCATATGTATTTTACAAACCGAAGATAATTATTGAAAACACAGTGTTGTAAACTGAAGATGTTTTCATTTGAGCCAAGTAAACTATTGTGCCAACCTCCATTTATGAATGCATTTTGACTTCCCCTTGAAAGGCTCATGGGTTGTCAACCTGACCTTTGTTTAGTTTCTTGTATTGATTGAGATGTAGCAGTTTTCAATCAAAGCAACAATAAATTCAGAACTAAAAGGTAACTAGCTGCTTTGGGTTATTTCTCTCCCAAGTTTAAATTGTTGCTAGATACCTCCACACCCTTCACCAGTTTTTCATACCTTTTTTTTATATTGAGAGTTGAAACATACACACATTGCTTATGTGTGATGGTGATACCTCAACGAGAAACTGAGAACATTGCCTTCATATCTATTGCCTTGGATTCACTTCAGTGGGACTTGCTGCAGTGGTGCTTAGGTTAATGTGATTAACAGAATAGGAAAAAAAATGAACATCTAATTTAAAATAGTAACTCCTACACTATTGTAAAGTTTGAAAATAAGAGTATGAAACTTAATAAGGAGTTTTTTAGTCATTGTACCACTAACCTCCATCTTGGTGCTTTGATTGAAAAATCACAGAAGGAAAATAATACTGTATTCTGGAAACACGCTGTTCTTTATTTATCCCTTTTAAATATAATAATAGTAAACTACTTTATTTCTTACAATCTTCTCCGTTTTCTTTTTCCTTGCTCTCACAAAATTATTGTTTTTGTATTATCACTGTAATGTTGCATTGAAAAGAGTAATACCATGATTTGCCTTTAAAGTAAAAAAAGAATGCATGAAATTAATAGTTTTGTTTTATCTTTCATAAACAGTCTGTAATTGTTGCTTTCAGTGTATCTCTCTATAAAATGTGATCGCTCTTGGAAGGTGGTTTCTTGCAAACATTAAAAGGGTTAAGAACTGTAAAGATTCCTTTTCACAGCTAATATATTTAGTACGGTATCATGGATATAAAATACTTTAATTAAATATCACTTCTTTTCATATTGTTTTTTGCCTCTCATTGCAATGCACTGAATTAAAGTGTGTTAGAAATAATACCTCATTTTAGTTGCATCAGTTAATAATGACATGACAAATTGTTTTGAGTCAGACATGTAATTGCGATCACATTCTGCTGCTATTGATACAATTATTGTTTTAAGGCATCAGTTGGAAAGCCAAGAGTTGACCTCCGCTTTTACACTTTGACTTCACTGAACCGTTTCAGAAGAACACTGAACTGTAAAGACATCTGCACATTCTTTCTTTGCAAATGGTTGCAAAGCATGCCGACCTTTTAGCTTCAAGAATAGTGAACATATTTCACCTTTGATTCGGCATGCTCTATCCTGAAGAGATAATCGTGACTAACAAGAATAGTATTTGCCATAGTAAGAGTCTATTCAACAATCTGGTGATAATCCTCATAATATTATAGGACTGGAGTAGCAAATCTCCACTCTCTGCCTTCCTAGCATTTGGTATGCTGATGTTTGCTATACTTCTGAGGAAAGAAAAAGTGAAGGATAGAATAAGGCCCATATAGCCCTCCACCACTCAGAATATCTGCCTTTCTATTGGTAGTTTTGCTGTGGATCTGTGACTGGGGTAAACTGCATGTCAGATGTTCACTGCTCTGAGGAAGCATGAGATCCTTGGATGGGTGGCTTATCCAACAAATGCTTCCTTTGACGAGATTCTGCTTACAGTTTAGTGAACAAGGATTAGTCTCTCTTCTCATTTCAGATGCCCAATTTTGTTGATTGCTGTTCTTGGCAGCTCCTCTAATATTATCTTCCATCCAATTCCATGCGCTTATCTGAGGCTGCTGAACTCTATACAAAGTATGGGCCATTTATAGTTGGACCATTTTAGAATGGATTACCAAATATTCAGTAAAGAAAATCTCCATTGCCCTAAAATGGTACATTTGGGAAGCTTGTCTGTGTTGAGCAATGGCCGTCTTCCTGCCTGTGATAATTTCTGTGTGGGTATGCTGATATAGGCTGCTGAGTAAGAAGAGAGTGAGCTTTTGCCCCACTAGCCTGTTGCACCACTGGAGTGGAGTTTCTGCTCAATATTCTTACATGAGGAAGGGTCCATAAAGTGATTATATTAGCTGGGGATGATAGGACCTTGCAGGGCACCCAGTTGGGGAAATTGCAGTTTGTTTTCCCTGGTGGCTTTTGTTTGTTTGTCTGCAGTGCAACCTCTGAAAGCCTCACGTCACATATATGTGTCGTATGACAGTTCCCTTTTAATATCAAGATGGTAGCTGTAGTCCAATATAGCAGAAAGGTTCCAAATTGAGAAAGAATGACCAAGTGAATACAGTCTTGAAATCATCTGGATCAATACCGCATCACACACTTAGACGTCAGTAAATAAAGGTTTTCTTTCGTCCCAAATATCTAATTTATGTGGAGTTGTACTGCAGGCAGCACAAGATGGTTTGCACTGATATATTTTTCAGATTTTCGTTCCAGCAGTTTCAAGTGATGATTTAGCAACCTACTTTCAAGTTTTGTTGCTGTATATACACATTAATTGCTGATGAAACTGGTTAATCATAGATCTTTAACTTTGTACAGGATACTGGCCCATCTGGTTTCAGCCATCTGGCTTTGCTGCTGAATAGTCTCCATTCACTACATTCAGTCAGGTTCAAGATCCCATAGCAACAATTTTTAGGCAAAAATGCATTTCCTTACTCTCATCTTTTCAAAAACAACTTTTAAAAAAACTTACACATTTTATTTAATAACTGCTTTCAAAGTATTTTAAAAGGAAAGTGGAAAATATTTTTAAAGCTGAGTCAGCCATAATTGTAGGTATTATTTTGTATGGCTGAGACTTAAAATTGCCGGCAGAGCAGCTATTTGAGGTTTCAAGGGACAGTGTCATATTTCAAATAATAGTATGCTTTTCATTTCTTATTAACACTTTGTTATTTGCTTCATATTTGGTGTTTTTAATTTCTTGCTCTCTAAGAAAGCTGATGCCACTCATCACTGAGGTGTGATATGCTTTTATTTCCCATTTTCTATTTTTCCTGTAATGTGGGTTATCTTTTGGACTTGTTAGAAATGCTTTGTGTTTACTGAATAATTATGTTACAAATGACGCCCAGCATCCCAAACTAATTCACAATTATCTTCCTTTTACCCACTTCAGGAGTTTATGCAGCTTAGCTTTTTTTGTATGGTGTAGCAATGGGACCTGGGCTAGACAAATAATTAAGCAATTTATGAGTGAGAATCCCTATTCTTATAGCTTGAAAATAGAATGAAACAATTCAGCTGCTTCTGGACGCCTCAAGGTTTCTTTACCTAGGACTCAAACTCCTGCATTTCCTGCTGTGGCATAGTTGTTCTTAGAAATTGAGGTCAACACATTTTCAAAATATTAGAATGGAAGAGGCTACTGGTGCTGGGTCCTGGTCCTGGTCCTAAAACACAACATGGTCTCACTATTGTTTATGTATGAAGCACATTCCATTATGAAGAATTCTACAAAGAAGAGACTAATGCATTTTCTTACAAGTGGCATATATTGGTTAGTTGATGCAACCATTAGGCAGTCTCTGGTCTATTAAAGTAACAGATTATGGAATACTGTTCATTATAAATTGCTAATGGGAGCACATTCTACCTATCACAAGCTGTCTTATCGGATACATAATAGAACAGGTATGCCTAACCCAATGTATTTATTGCTGTGAATTGCTTTAATGAGATTTGTTCTGTTTTCAATGAGCCAATGTTATATAGTGGTTAAGGCACCAGGCTAAAAACCAGGAGATTGTGAGTTCTACTCCTACGTTGGCATGAAATCTAGCTAGATGACTTTAGGTCAACCATTCTCTTGAATCCAACCCACCTCACAAGGTTGTTGTTGTGGAGAATATAGGAGAAACCAGTGCTGGGTATGTTTGCCACGTTGGGTTACTTATAAAGGTAATAAATGCCCAATTATATAAAATATACTTCAAGGGTCTTTAAAGAGTAACAGCAAGTCAATCTAGAGGCATTTCAAATCCGTCCACACTCTGAGCACTTCACTTTCAATACTTTGTAATGAGACAAAGTAGGAGGCATTTGCAGAATGTGAGGGATTTTTTGTTTCAATTACTATTCTTCAGCTGTTTTTCTAGACCCTTAACTAGGGCAGAGCATTTGCTCTCATACATCTTTCCTCTTATGATGATTCATTTGCTTTTTTACCCAGATATTCAGGGCAAAAGTGTCATTTATCATTCCTCGAGAGAGTACATGTTTGACTAGCAAGCATGTGGGTGAGGAGTAGCAAAGCTACTGTTATTTTCAGGTGTGTAAGTTATGCTAACACCTTTGCAGAACCACAAAACTTCCTTTAATTTTTATTTTTGTTAAGTTTTCCTGTGTTACCTGCTCCATCTTTTGAACGCAAGCAGCAAAACCTTGTAATTCACCTTTTGCCTATTTTTGTTAGTATGTTTGGGGGTAAAACCTCAGTTCTATTTTATAAGAGGCATTTATTATAAATCATAGCATATTCTCACGTTCACAGATGTTATGCTGTTACAACAAAACTTCTAAAGTATTTGTGCAAAAAATTAAAAGCTAGGGCCTTCTCTGAATGCAGGAATTGTTTCACCAACATTAATGCTTTGTGTTGCCTCTAGTCTAAAATGCAAAAAAACCAACCATTTCCTGGTGTTTTTTAAATGTTTTATTTCAGTGAACACAGTCCAATTTCAAACATTAAAAGGCAGCAGTTCAACCATTTTAATACAAGTGGTGCACAAAATCCCTAGCATAAATAGATCATTCACTGGTCTCGCAAAATAATTTAATATTTCTTAGAAGAAAAACTGAAGAAATGGGCATGTTGAAACCAAAGAGAATAGTTGCTAGAGTAAACAAACCCTTTTTGGTCTCCAAAGTGAAAGGTATTTAAAACAGAACCTAGGAGTTTCCTTTCTGACAATGCCAACTAAGCCCACTTGGTGGCTTTTGACAGGAACTCTGCCACACTTGATTTCACAACCGTCTTAACTTCCTCTGGGGAGTTCCTATTGCTCCTTCAACAAGGCTTCTGCTTTAAGTCCATCATTGGCCAACCGTACTGTCAAACATCCTTCAGTTTCACACAATGTGCAGTTCAACCTCAGCCCACTGACTTGACCTCAATTACTGTAATCCTTATGTCAGGCTGGGAAATTACTTCCTGAGCAAATAACTAAAGTATCTTGAAACTTCAGTGCAATTTTTCTCTATTCAGTTCAGCCTTATTTGCCTGCTGTCACCGTTCAGGCAGATTAATAACGGGGACCCACTGATCCATGTAGCGGCTTTCACGGCAAAAGCAGATCAGCTGACTTAGGGCTGGATCCTTCCATTGAGAAGCATGTGGATTCTGCAAGAGAAAATGAGACAGACAATGTTCACTGTCAGCACAAAGTAAAATGCTGCTGACAGTAAACGGAGCTATATATAAAAGACACAAAATGCTCTAGATAAGACTGCAATGCAACATTTATTACTGGAGGAAAGTTCAGTTTAATTATACTTTCAACTGATTTGTATAAAAACA